GTCGGTCGCGCGATCCGTTACGGAACGGTCACGCAACACCGCAAAAACGAAGCGGTTGAGTATAGGCTACAAGTTCTAATGCCATCCATTTTCAGGGCTAGTTGATTCGATTTATTACAATATGTAGCAAATAGTTTGTGCAATGGCTATGGAAGATTATTTGCTCTGTTCGCAAAGAACCAATGAAGAGATTTAGACGGTGCAGAGAGACTAAAAGATTGCTCCCCTGGATTCGCAGGTATCATCAAACCGTCTGTCTGCTTTCTGCGGGAGACTTTTCGGGGAATCCACGGCATTTTTTCATTTGTTCTCCATGAACGCGAAACTGCATCACAGTAGTAAATTGTGAATCTCAATAAAGCACGATGCCTGGCTGAAGGAGAATGGCATTAGCCGTTGCTAGTGCTTTCTTTCTTCTTCACCTTACATGCTTACCAGATTGTTTGTGGTATCTGCGTAGATGATGCTATTGGCGCATTAGCGTTAGGTAGAAAGTGTGTAACCGTTGGAATGTCGATCTGCCTTACATGATTAAGCAAATTCTAGCACCTGTATTTTCATTCATCTATTCGTGGCGGTGCTGGTCTCCGTTTTCATGGCATCAGCCACGAGTGCCCTATTTCTTAAAGGCAGAATCGACAGCAGCTGTAACAAGCATAGTCTGTATTCTCCTGTTTCCTTCCGACTCATTTGTAAGAATGATACTCATTTATTAACATGGTAAGGAAGAAATGCGAGAACGACGTTCAAACCCAGGACGTTTCTATTCCGTGTCTGACTCTCTGCCGACCGAATAACCCCGGTCTGAAGCAACATGAAGTAAACTTATTGTCCAAAAGAACTCATGGTAGCGACAAACAATTCACGCACCTCTGAAGTTTCAGTTCGAAGCAGGCCTCTTACGTACCGTGTATCCACGCCACCCTGGATTCTGTACAAGCGTATTTCAGACATATTGTACTGGCATAACTTCACACAACCAGTTTCCACGGCGTTATTGGCTTATCTTCTTGCTTTTGAGTGCTTAAAAAGTCATTTGGAATTCTTAGGTCCATTCCGTTATTGCACCTGCAGTTGAGAAACGCGTCCATTTTATTACTCAGACTGCCAGCTCGTTTTCAGTGTTCTCGCCGTTAAATGATATGTAATCTAGTATTGAAATTTAGTGCAATTCTTTGTGTTGCAAATAGTGTTATATGTAGGTAAATCACAGATTGGATAACTACGCATCAAATTTTTAACTAACAATATTTGATAACAGGTAGTGACGGATCAAGCTGGGTACGTCTTTAGAGCAATTATAATTTTTGCATGGCCTCGGTTTTATGCAGGTCATGTTGATGCATGTGATTAATCTAGTCGAGTGTTATTGTTGTAGACAGGTAAACCGGTTGTTAAGGTTTTAGTTACCAATGCGATACTTAATCGATTTTAAGAACAAAAGATCTGTTACTCCAGTCGAGTTAAACCATGATTATTGGTGTCCTGCTTGTCATTAGCGTTGAACAGCTGTTTGGAATTTTAAGTCGCTATTAGAATTCATAGTTTTTCATTAACCAGTCATTAAATATTTAGTATATTTCACCATTTCGTTATGCAGTTACTAATGATATCTGGTATCATTCATATGAATAAACTAACGATTTTGTGCTTGCAAGATTTTGCTCGTGTTTAGAACAACAGCAAGTCCTTAAATTAAATATTTTCGGTGGAACTTCTAAACGTCTCTGTCTGTCGTTCAGATATGGCCTGGAATGTTTGTTCCGGTTCTACAGCTACGGCTTGGAACAGAAGTTTCGGCCGGATATCTACCGCGATTTCACGCAGGAGACTATACGCGATGTGCAACAGGGCGAGTTGTATGGTCTCGAGAAATTCTGGGTGTTTCTCAAGTACTACAAACACTCCCGTCGCCTTGAAGTAGACTCCTATCTACGCGACCAGTTGAAGAAATACAAAAAACTCAATGATTTCATGGTTGATGTAAGTAGAATTTTTCTGAGTTTGTTACGTTTTTCGGTAAAACCCATCTATGGGTACATGATTATGTAATGAAGCAAGTAGACTTCAAAATAGCTAGTATTTTGTTCTCAAGAATTTGAGGAAATTAATGATTAATTGTGGAGGACGAATTACACGGAAGTGCCAAACGTATTTTGATTCGCCAAGAAGGAGCATTTCTAGTAATAAACAACAAGCTAATTTCGCGCAAGAAGGAAGTTTCGACCAGAATTGTTAGACCGATTTAAGCAAAAAGTTTGCCTGTTTTTGCCTGAAAGAACTGATGAATTCCTACCTAAGCTGATTTCTTGTTTCATCATAAATCTACATATATAAATGTAAACTGCTATGCTCACCTCTAGTGGGCCAAGACTAAAAACCTAGCTAAATCTCGGGTGAAAGTGGCTGAAATGGATTTTCTGAGACAGATTGCTAGACTCACGCGTTCGACATGGTTCGAAGTACAGAAATTTTTGGGAGCGCTGGTGTACAGCCCCTGCTTCTCCAGATTGAGAAGTCACGTCGGCGATGATTTGAACATTTTGCGAATGCTTCCAGAGTGGAAGACGAAATAGCTCGTGATTGCTCAACCGACTGATCGAAGACCCCGGCGACGGTCAAAAGTCATTTAGAGCAGTTAGACTTTGGCCCATCCCTGGCAGAGGATCAGGAGCGTTGAAGACACTGCTCGACAAGTCTACTTCCACGACCCGAAAGTATAAAAGGTCAGCAAATCTGACTAAGCCTAAACTGTGAAATTTTGGATCAGATGCCACCAAACCAATCATAAGTGGTATCGCAGTGCACACGTTCGACAGAAACAATGTTCTGAAATGGCCTAATACGAGTCAAATCTTCAGACCTTGTGCATCGACTATGTATCACACTATGTCTGTAATAAATATGATATTTAGTAGTCCAGTATCATAACTAAAGTACAAACAATATTTTTTACCTTCGTAAAACATGGAAAGAGCTGTATTTTCGCTGCACATCAGAAGTGGATAGGACCCGCTTGGAAAAGCTGACTGTTTTACTGAACGCCCTGTTAATTCTAGTCGGTCGCATCTTTTGGTTCATCTGTACAAACGAGTTATTTTATAAGTGATTAATAAAATTTCCGCTAAACGTTTGGTCAGAGATATATGCGATTTATTTGACTTATGCCAAAGTATGATTGTTCAGAAACGGGCGACTAAGTAACTTTTCAATTTTAGCCAGCGTTAGCTG